AGAAGCATAAATAACTGACAGGGAACTCAGGAACCAAAACAAGGAGCCTCTTGTCACAAACATAGTTTGCATCTAATAATTTAGATAAACAGTCTTAGTTTTTGGAAATATAAAAGAATTATGCTCTAATTTGTCATTACCGATCTGTCATTATCATATTTAATTTGTCAAACCTCGTCTTCTCGACGTTCTTTTTCCTGTTTGGCGTGATTGCAAATGTGGACCTTTTCGTCTTCCATACAAACAGTTTCAATCTGGCTTCCGTCCTCTGTACAGTACTGAAACCGCACTCATCAAGATCTCTGATGACCTCCTTATGGCTTCTGACTCTGGACTACTTTCCATCCTCATTCTCCTGGACCTTACAGCAGCCTTCGACACCATCTCCCATGCCACTCTCCTCAGTTGACTATCATCCATCAGTATCAGCCGCACCTCTCTAACCTGGTTCACCTCATACCTCTCAGATAGGACACAGTTCATACAACTCAAATCTCATAAATCCATCTACTTCCCCGTTTCGGCTGGTGTGCCCCAAGGTTCTGTCCTGGGGCCCCTCCTGTTTATTATCGACATCCTCCCTCTTGGCTACATCCTCTGTAAGCATCATATCAAATTCCACTGCTACGCAGACGACACCCAGCTCTACCTTTCTACTCAACCATCTGCCTCACTCCCACCAATCTCCCTCACCCTCTGTCTCCAATAAACCCATTCTTGGTTCTCATCCAACTTCCTCAAACTGAATAGCTCTAAAACCGAAGTCCTCCTAGTAGGCACACCTCACACTCTCTCCAAAGCTAATAACTTCTTGATTACCATCAATGATTCAACTGTCCTCCCCTCCCCTCAGGTTAAGAGTGTCATGATGGGTTTCTGGATGCTAGCCTATATGCAGAACACAACTAAGAGACAGGGAAAAAGTTCAAAGGTTTCATTAAAGAAGAGGTGCAAAAACAGGTCAGGGGGGGTAATCAGGTCCAGGGCTGGTCACGGCTGGGTTACTGTCCTGGAGTTTGAGCAGAGCAGCAGAGGGGGAGAAAACCAGGAGGGTTCAGAGGCTGACGGCAGGCTGAGGGCTTGGTGGAGGCTTAGCTTGGCTAGAGCTTGTAGATCTCCAGGTTAGAGTTTCCCTTCCAGATTCTTCTGGGAGCAGGCTGGCTGATCTTTGACAGGTTAGGTTATCCAGGGTTCTTCTGAGGTCAGACAGACAGATTTCCACCAGAGAAACTCTTCAGGGGGTTTCTGGTTTCTGGCAGGTTCAACCTGGGAAACAGAGAAGACAAAACGGATCAGGTTCTGGTTCAGGTATCGTAGTCAGGCGACTAGACAGACAGGTTGGCTCAGGGTTTGTTGTACCGTAACTGACTAAACACTCTGGCACCGGAGTGAGGTTCCCAGCCCGCTTAAGTTCTGGTCTCCTGATGAGCAGATGAGGAACAGCTGGTGAAGTCAGCTCCAGCTTCAGGAGATCCAATGTGCCCTCTGGTGGAGGAAGGTAGACAGAACCCCAGATCCCAACAGTAACAAAAACCCCTAGGAAGGGATCCTCGACAGCACCCTCTCCTTCCAGTCCCACATTAACAACATCACCTGGTCTGCCTATTTCCATCTGCGTAACATCTCTCGTCTCCGTCCCTCCCTCACTCCCCAAACTACCGCCATTCTTGTTCACAGTCTCATCACTTCACGCATTGATTACTGTAATTCACTTCTTTTTGGCCTTCCAAACAAGTCCCTCCAGAAACTACAGCATCTAAAGATGGCAGAAACCTAGCCTAGTAAACTAGCCCCACCCACCAGCAGCCAAAATCATTTTTGCCTACGAGGGGCCTTTTCTCAACCAAAGCTCCAGGTCTTAGAACTGGCGGGCCAATCACAGCGCAGAGATGTGTTTTGAAGATTTGGATGCAAAGCGGGCGGGGTTTTGAGTGCGGAATGACAAAGCTGCATGACGCTAGAGAACGCACAACAAGGAAGATGGCAACAACTACTGAACAGTTCTCGTTTGACTCAGGTTTGGAATAAGTTTTGGAAGGATAACACTTGGGGTTTTTCGTTGAAACGTGAGAAGGAAGAGGCTCTACGCTCATTTATTTTTAAGAAGGACGTATTCGCCATTTTACAGACAGAAATACACAGAGACAGAAATGGTGTTTACACTCACCCACCAGCTTTCTGCCGCGCTTACTACCACAGTCAGTTGCGCTCATTGATCAGAGCGTTGGCCAATAGGCACAGACATGGTTTGATAGAAAACAGGTTGTTCCCATCATCAATATTCTGATGTCTCATTCATCAGGGCCTGACTAAATTACACATTTAATCTCATGTTTAGTCTGGTTTATCAGGCTAGCAGAAAACCATAAATAGGAAAAATTAAAGAACAAATTCAATGAATAATCCGAAATGCTGAAAAGCGATAACTAAAATAAACAGCCAGGTAGACTAAATGAAGAAGATTAACAGCAGAGAAGCAGATATGACAGAAAGCTGCTTTTCTTTAACTGCATTACAGACTTCACTAATGTACTGCAGGATATTCTGTGTTTGCATCAAACCCAAAGAAATAAGAGGTGAGGGAAAAAAATACTTTTGCTTGTAAAATAAATAGATTTTTTTTTTTTTTCAAAAAAAATTTTCCTTATTTGAACGGAAAGAGATTGACTTCATCTATGGATGAACATTTATTCACTATAGAGTTGTGTTCAGTCCAGTACGTCAGTTAGAAATTGTGCTGCTATGCTGATGGCCTTTTAAAACATTTCTTCTTTTCAACATATTGGATAGAATAGTATTGAATTGTCATCTTCACAAAAAAGTCTATTACCAAAGGCTCCAATGGCAATTGTTACCACTACATTTCTAAACTTTTGAATGCTGATGCCATTTCATTTCACCATAACAGACATTTATGTTGCGCCTTATACAATTTGTGACAGACTATAAACACATGTAATAAATGTAACATTAAATATTTTTTTCCTTTGTTCAGTGTCTCTCTTCTTGTATCACAGTTCAAATAGTTTGAGCCCTGGAGGGATACATACTGGAGAGAAAAAAAATGTATTCTGCAGTGGCATTTGTATGAACCTTTGATTAATGGGTGAATAGTCAGGTAGAGGATCCATTCTCTTTTCCCTTAAGCACAACTGCAAAATCAAAACAAGAATGTGTTTTATATCTCCCAATCTTTTTGTATGTTCTGTTTTAACATTGTTTTATGAATAAAACTATACTTTCATCATATATTAGTCATATAACTTGGAGTGAGTGAACCTACAGAGAAAAGGAATATTTGTGTTCATAAGCTTTAAAACAATTTTCTGAGTTGGAGAAGCCTTGACAGTAAACACAGATGATATACAGTTTTCCCAATACTAACAAAGTTAGGTCCTGTTGAAACAGTTTGATTTAAAATTTTATTTTTTAAAATCTTTTACTTTTGCAACTGATTACCTTGGCGAATTCTGAAAGAGGATATTGGCCAGACATTTGGTTTGAAACTCACAAGGGAGAACACTGCTTTTCAGTGCAAAGGAATGTGTTTTAAATTTTCAATGGCAAACTTAACAAAGCTCAAGAAAAATATTTTGATTGTGTCTTCATCTTTATTTGAAAAGGTCAAACGGGAGCTGTGTTTTGTAAAGAAAAAATACCTTGGCTTACAGTTTTAAGTGAAAATCATCACCTAGCATAGCCTTAAATGGCCTCAGTGGTCTCTTTGATATGCAGAAACACTGGACTGCAGCAGAAAGAGAGAAACATTCTTAGCAAGGAAGTGAGGACATAGTGTGACCTTTTAGCATAACCAATATTAAATGTGAAATCTTTTGAATGTTCCATGTTCTCCTGTTCTTTGTTTCAGCTTTGTTTTTGTGACTCTTGTTAAAACTATGTTAAATCCAAGGGGGGGTTCTGTGTGAGAACATCTGTGACTGATGATGAGATGAGCACTCATACCAGAGTCTAGCAGCAGTATGAAGTAAACTGCTTTAATAATAGGAATAAAAGGAAGCAGGCATTTGCACTCAATGGCAAAGAAATAACCATGAGGCTCTGCATTCAGGGTAAAATAATTAGAGAGAGAAAACACATATTTTTATATAGTTTAGATAGCATACTGAAATTAATTTAAATCCTAAGAGATTCAAAACTGTCCAGTGATTTAGAAATGCACACTATGTGCATATATATCCATGTATAATAAACAATATCATGGTATTTAGAGCAAATTCAAAAAACAGCAGGGATATAGCCACTTATTAAACTTTGGAGCAGTAATATTTTTAAGGCCGACAAGGTTTATTTATATAACACATTTCAGTATAAAGACAATTCAAAGTGCTTTACATCAATTAAACAATGAGGTGACTATCTTTTTTGCGGGCACTCAATTGACAGGCTAGAACATACCTTTTAACATCCTTATAGATTGAAGGCCACCAGAAATTTCATCAAAGGAGTGCAAGAGTTCGGGTTTTTTCCAGGATGAAAGGGGAATTTTGCCATGTGGGCATATTGAATGAGGCTGGACCTAATGAAAACAGAAACATAAACCTTGTTCAGAGGTTTATGTTTTTTTGAAGAGGCTGCTAGAGTTTGAAACTCAATGAGAAGGACCTCGCTGCAGCAAACAGAAAGGGGCGGGGACGGACCTTTCCGTCAGTCCCATACCTTATTTGGAAATGGGACTATTGCATTCCGGAAATGAAGGGGGCGCTATTTTCATAATCACTAGTATAAATGCCTTAAAGACGCGGGGTTAAGAGGAAAGGAAGAAGAAAGAAAGAAGTTTGAAAAGTTTTTGCACTGGTGTTCGGCACACGATCCATAATGCAAAACCCACAAAATCAACAAAAGGTAATTTTACCTTCTTAAAATTTTTTTCACATAGTAAATTAATACGCTTTTCTAGATTCAGTTTTTTAAGAAAACCTTCAATTTGTCCTTTTTAAAAGGTCCAGAGAAAAGGAGAGAAAGCGGAAAAAAGTTGATGAGAGGGCAAAATGTGAGGTAAGCTGTAGCTAAAATTCATCACTTTGTTGTTTTAAGTCATAGAATTTGTATTATGTCCATTCACAGTGTACTTTTGTTCTATGCTTATTTTTTTAAGTCTGAAAGAAAATCAAGATACAAGAATTAAAAGGGTTGAAGCAGTTTTGATGTTATTTGGACTTGCATTCATCTTTCACTTAGAACATATCTGTATTTTTACAGACTCTGTGTGCTGATGACCACACCTATGCCAAAGGAGCCATTGAGGTTAATTTTTTAAATTTACACATAACTAGTAATTTTGATTTGTGTATCTTTATGTGCAAATGAGACTAAAACCCTAAATGAACTTTTTTTTATATCATTAGAGATGAAAGGATAAGATACTGAGAGATATAAAGTATTAATTATTGTTTAATGCTCTTCACCATGCAGGTAGAAAGGATACCGCCAATCTTACAGGTAAGATTCATTCATAATCATATGTATCATTTATTCTTCCTGTATGACAGTCTTGCAATGCACCTGTTTTTTATTTTGTTTGTTTTTTTATTTTTTTATTTTCAGATGCGGAGGAGAGGAGAGTACCATCGTTACTACTGTGATGGCATACCTGGACTTTGCCCTGAGTGCCAACATTGAATTCAAAGAAAATATAAGTTGCTTTCCACAATCTGTCACATATTGTTAGTTTTTTTTGTGACATGCCATTTGAAATCGTTTCTGATAAAGAATATTTACCTTTTGACTTGTGCAGTCCTCCTTTTTCATAATGTGTTCTTTCAATATTATTTACATTTTTGAAAGTTCCTTTTGTTGTAGCTCAGTTGATTTACATCATTTAGTTTTCATAGAAATGGTGTCGTTTCCACAAAGTTACATTGTGGCTGTAATTTGTTGGAGAGACAGTAGAACCAATAAAGTAGTTGTAAATATATTGTAACAGCGTTGTTTAACAATTGGAAAATTTTAAATGCAAGCAAAGCTAATAACTTGCAATATACAATGTTTCCTATACATTTTTGGACAATGACTGGAATCAATACAAATTTTCTTTACAAACCTGACATACAGACAAGTTGTTTATGTTTTAACAGTTAGAATCAACTTGTTTTATGTAATAAAAAATAAGTTGCAGAAACATATTGTTCAGATACAAACATAAGATTAAACGAGCAAAGCGAAGGTGTAATCAGGGTGGAGGTGATGGAAGCTCAGGTGAGGAGCAGTTGCACACATCAAGCTGGACTTTATGAAGGGTGAAGGACTTGAGACCGGCGCCGTTAGGCTGGGAGGGAGGCACCTGAGCAGGTGATTGGCTGAGCAGGTGAGATGAAGACAGACTCTATTCAAAAAGGTTTTCATGTAGAAAAAAGATCATTCTCTCTGGTGGTTACCAGTACAGTGTCTACTGCCGGGATCAGAAAGTTGAAGATTATTGTCAAATGAACTTTCTAAGACCTACTTTCTGTGCGAGTCTTTCCAGGTTGAAGCTACATTTAAGGTTTTAATTAATCACTTTGGGTTTTGCTACAATTGGATATTCATGTTTTTGGAGTGCAGTTTATGAATTTATTGCAATTGATAAAATTAATATGGTATTTCTAAATGGAATAGTGGGACACCAGTCAGTTTACTAGTTGAGCTGGAGTCCTTATAGGAGACATTATGGTCAATAATGATAATAATTGAGCCAGGTCACCTGCAACCAAGTATATTCTATTTACCGAATGGCACTTGTTAAAAGTTCAAAAGTCCTTTGGTTTGTTTGTAAATTATATTCACAATGAGAATAATAAGAAAAAGTATTTGGCAAATAAACAACAAAAGTGCATCGTGAATGGACGTACTAAGTTGGCCAAAATTGTCGACTAAATGTTTTACAGACCAAACCTCTTTTCCATCTAGTTCTTATTAAATAAGCCAAAGGCTATTATATTTTAGATTTTAACTTATTTATTTTAAGAGTACCGTTCACAACATCCCTGTCGTCCCTGCTTTTTGCGGATGACGTAGTTCTGCTGGCTCCCTCCTGCCAAGACCTACAGCGTGCGCTGGGGCGGTTCGCAGCCGAGTGTGAAGCGGCCGGGATGAGAATCAGCTCCTCCAAATCCGAGGCCATGGTTCTCGACCGGAAAAAGGTGGCTTGTCCCCTTCGGGTTGGAGGGGAGTCCTTGCCTCAAGTGGAGGAGTTCAAGTATCTTGGAGTCCTGTTCACGAGTGAGGGAAGAATGGAGCGGGAGATCGATAGACGGATCGGTGCGGCTGCTGCAATAATGCGGACGCTGCACCGGTCTGTCCTGGTGAAGAGAGAGCTGAGCGAAAAGGCAAAGCTCTCAATTTACCGGTCGGTCTACGTTCCTACCCTCACCTATGGTCATGAAATTTGGATCATGACCGAAAGAACGAGATCCCGGATACAAGCGGCTGAAATGAGCTTTCTCCGCAGGGTGGCTGGGCTCTCCCTTAGAGATAGGGTGAGGAGCTCGGTCATTCGGGAGAGGCTCAGTGTAGAGCCGGTTCTCCTCCACATCGAGAGGAGTCAGTTGAGGTGGCTCGGACATCTTCTTCGGATGCCCCCTGGACGCCTCCCTCGGGAGGTGTTCCAGGCATGTCCCACCGGGAGGAGGCCCAGGGGACGACCCAGGACACGCTGGAGAGACTATGTCTCTCGGCTGGCCTGGGAGCGCCTAGGGCTTCCCCCAACAGAGCTGGAGGAGGTGTCTGCGGAGAGGGAAGTCTGGGAGTCTCTGCTTAGCCTGCTGCCCCCGCGACCCGGTTCCGGATAAAGCGGGAGACGACGAGTACGAGTACGTTCACAACATCAAAATATATTATTTGAACTTCAGCACCAGCATGTATTTGTTTATATCTGTTTTCTTAATCAGCGATGGACTGGGGATCTGTCCAGGGTCAGCAGCCTTCATGACCCCACTTGAGGATAATTCATAAAAATTAATGGATGGATAAATGTGCTCTTAATGTAATGTACATTTGTCTCCAAAATATTTATTTTATTTTATTTTTTATTACTTTTGTTAGAGTATATCTCTAGGGTGTAAGGATAGATAAATACATCTCCATAATGATTCCTTATTGTTGCTTATTTTAGATTGTTTGTTACTAAGATAATTTTAAATAAAGATTTCAAAATAAAAAAGGGACATACTACGTGACAGACATGCCACGTGACATATCACGTTTTGTAGCCATTTCTTTACTGTTTAATTAGTATTTTTAATGTTGAAAGTGTTCTTGGGTGTTTTGAAAGGCGTTGTCAAATAAAATACGTTATTATTATTATAATTATTATGAAACGGTCGGTACAGGAAATTCAATTTCAATTCAATTCAGTTTATTTATATAGCGCCAAATTCACAACACATGTCATCTCAAGGCACTTTACAGTTCAACCAGATCATACAGTCAAATTGATACAAACTTTTCTATCTAAGGAAAACCAGTTGATTGCATCGACTCAAATACAATCCCCCACACTAAGCATGCTTGTAGCGACAGTGGAGAGGAAAAACTCCCTTTTAACAGGAAGAAACCTCCAGCAGAACCAGGCTCAGTGTGAGCGGCCATCTGCCGAGGCCGACTGGGGTTCAAGGAGACAGAAGCAGAGATACAAAAAGCAGCTGTAAAAGGCGGCCCCGTCCAGGAAACACACAGCCAGGCAGACGAGCTCCAAGGCAGCTCCCATGCCAGAGGACGAAGAGAGCACATCCACTCAGTCACGGTCAGAGAAACAGGACCACACTGGAAAACAGGCCGATCTCCAACATCTATTAACAAGGGTGTTGATAGAAGCAGCACAGCTGATGTTTTTTCCAGGATGACGTCACAGCCAAACAGGAACAGACGAGGCAAAGCTACTCTGAGGAAAAGCAGAGAGAGCAGAAGGTTAGAGATTGAACTAACAGATTCTGCAGAATAGGAGAACAGAGAGAGAATGAAGCAGAATGATGAAATGGGGGTCCCTATGTCCTCCAAAAGTCTAAGCCTATAGCAGCATAACTATAGAGATAGCTCAGGATAACCTGAGCCACCCTAACTATAAGCTTTATCAAAAAGGAAAGTTTTAAGCCTAGCCTTAAAAGTAGACAGGGTGTCTGCCTCACGGACTAAAACTGGTAGTTGGTTCCACAGGAGAGGAGCCTGATAACTAAAAGATCTGCCTCCCATTCTACTTTTAGAAATTCTAGGAACCACTAGTAAACCTGCAGATTGAGAGCGAAGTGCTCTGTTAGGAACATAAGGAACAATCAGATCTCTGATATAAGATGGAGCTTGGCCATTTAAGGCTTTATATGTGAAATAGTGTCACTAGCGCCCCCGTCAGTTCCGGAATGAAATGGTCCCATTTCCATATAAGGTATGAGACTGACAGTGGTCCGTCCCCGCTCCTTTCTGTTTGCTGCAGCGAAGTGTACTTCAACGAAATAGCAAGGGGTATACTGGCTTGTTACCCTGTTTTGAATAGCAAAGCTTATGGGAAATGTAAGAAACTAACTCATTATAGCCAAATGCCTGTTTTAACTAAGAGATACAGTAGCAGCCATTCAAAATGGCTCTTCCTTGTTAAACGCCAGCCGAATGGCAGCCTACTCCCCTGCAACTCCCAGCAAAATGCACTCCAACTTCTAGCCACTGACCTCTTCCTGGGCGTGCATTTTGTTTTTTACTCTGACTCCCCATTTCACTGAATGACAGGGTCTGTCCAGGAGATAACACTTCTCTTTAAATCTTAATGTTCACAAATCATGACAGAAAGAATATTTTAGTACAAAGATTGATGTTTAAAAACGAATTATAGAGGTCCAGCCAAGGGCCCATCAAGGAAAGTGGGGACATTATGAGTTGCTACTACTGAAAACTGGGTAAAGGAAATTTGGAATTGAAGCTCACCCCCAAATCTTGCTTTAGCATACTAAAGGGCTCAACTTCTCAATAATCCAATCAGAAATGAGATTTGATCCTTATCAAATAAAAAACACATGGGGGATCGAGTGAAAACTAATTAACATTGTAACAGGAAGCCACAACGCCCTCCAGATTTTAACAGCATGAATGAAAATGAGAAGTTGCGAGAGGAGTTAGTTCAAGAACGGCAGTGGCTCCGGCTGTAGAGGGGGTAGACCCCGCAGGAGTAGTTCTGTTAAGCAGTTGCTGAAACATTTCCATCTGCTGATCTGAAAGTCTTTGCTGTGAAGCCTGGATTGACTGATCGTGGTGATGAAGTAATTCACATTCAGTGCAACAACCCAAGGGAGATTGTGCTGGGTCCGACAGCAAAATAATTCTTAAAGTTTTTCTTAGCAAAATAGAAGAAGATCCTGGAAGCAGAGAATTGTGGAAAATGAGTTTTCTGGTTGGTCTGAAGGGAGAAAACAGACTGATCAGAAAGGAGCTTTGGGAAGACAACCAATGACTGAATAATTTGCTTACTTGAGGGGTTAATTGGGGGGGTGACATGGATCTGTACGTAGCATGGATCTGACACAAATTGTATGACAAGAAAGAAAGGCCTCAGAAGAGGCAGATATATCCCAAAATGCATGGTGCAGAGAAATCTCCTCGCATTATGGGGTTGGCTGTCACAGCGGCCCGCTGTCGCCATAGGCTGTCGCTACCCGACAGGGCGACTAATAACAAAGATCGCAAGGGCACCGCGAGGTGGAGGAGGAGTTACGTGACGAACGGGGAGCAAAGAGCGAGATCTGTCCGAAAGGGTACGTTAACTGA